CTTTCCAAAACGATGTATTAACTCTTAAATGAAACTCCAAAATTCAAAGCAGAGGGTTTTGAATTTAACTCTATCTGGCATAGACTTTGTGATGTTAGAATGGTTAATAAAAGAAGTAAGTCTTGTAGGACATAAGTGAATTGAGAACGCAAGAAACAGCACATGATATGCTCATCATTTTTCTGCAAAAGTCTTTTAAGTAGCATTTGTTGGAACATTTTATAAAATTCTTAGTAGTCGAAACAGTAACCTCCGCCGCCACCCGAGCCGCCATAGCTTCCTCTCCCAGTCCGCCACCTAAGCAAGATTTTAATTAGAAGTATTCAGAAACAGACATGCGCATGGAGACACATGATTAGTTGATTTATAATTTCTATATAAGAGAGGAAGTTGAGCTTTACCATGACCACCTCCGCCGCTAGCTGTGACGTAATGGCTAGAAGAATTATTTAATTCTCACTGACTAATTCACGGTGTGTTTTGAATTACAAAATGGATGCTCACTAGTGCGTTGCTAGAAGAAAATTTGCTATGACGATTCTCTGCATTATTGAAGAGTGTGTTGCTTTCTAATCGCCAACGTTTTCATGCTAACCCAGCAAAGGTCATCAAAACAGCGAACAAGTTCTGCTTAATTTGGAGGAAGTTTGAAAACTAAGATTTTCATTTTATATAAAGTCGTTCTGCTAACACGTGCATAGAACCAAAATGCCGCTCAAATTTTGTGACCTTGATCAATGAGAATATAGCTAGCAAAATTTCTTTATCAAATTTCTTTTTTTCTTTAAAAGTTAGCAAAATTTCTCTGTAACGTTCTTTTTTCTTTCCTTTTAAAATATGAGCCATATAAGGCACTGGTATTGTATGAACCACTTGAAATGAGTTTAAAGTGGTTTATACAACGTAGGTGTTGAACGCACTTGAAATTCCTTTCAAGTGGGTCACACATCACACTTGAAAGGAACTGTGATAAAGGTTTACTATTTTTTTATAATACAATTTGCGGCCAACGTGCTTTCGCAGAAACTTTTAATATTTTATGTTCTTTCACAAATTGGAACTGTTCATAAAGGCCAGTATGTCTTCAATCTATATACTTGCGAGCAAATATCACTTTCAGAGAGTAGCTTGTCCGAGCCTTCTATCATATCTTAAGTTTTCAGAAGTTCACATCAGGTCGCCTGGCTTTCCTTAGCTCCCAAACGTGACTGTTGAGGTGCTTGCGTGAAATTGTGTAATTATTTTCAGACACAACATTAAAGGCCATATAAAACGAGGTGTCTAGTTTTGCTAGCAATTGTGTATAAGCGTGGATACGATTAAATAAAGTTAATGCGGCATTGTATTGGATAGAACCTGCTGTTTCATCGGATGATAAATTAAACCTCGAATCTGTATCAGATAACGATGTAAGCTCCTTATCGTAGAGCTTACATCGTTATCTGATACAGATTTAAAAAAAGTTCTAAGGTACGCAAAGAACTTTGTATTTTTAGATTTCATATGTTTTTGCTGATATTATACTTGGTTTATTTTGAGTCTATGAGTTCTGTAGAATTTCACGGACGGAGAGGTACCTGCTTAGAGTAGTGTTTCGCGGAAGTGGTTTCATGTAACTTTTGCAAGACGTGAATATGGAGACAGTGATAAATCGTAGTTTTGAGCTGCAAAACTAAAACATTATAGTATTAGTTTCTCTTAATGCTTTTTAACTTTCTGCTCAGTAAATATCTCAATTTTTGTAGAAATAGTGCTTTATGCACACTATTTCGCCGACTGTTCAAAATTGATTAAGTTTTACACTAAACATCTTATTTATTTTGTGTCCGCTGTAAAAGGAATGAACGAAGTACAGATCTAGTATGATCGAAAAGATGGCAATCATCATTCTTGTGCGTACATTACTTGTTTCCAGAGAGCGGTCTGAAGGGCTGATAAAGTGCTACCACCAACTATCAATTTTTGCTATATGTCTAGGAACTATATTATTAATAGTATTAATGCCAACAATTTTTCTTATATAAGAACTACTGACCAAACTGCACGCTGTATCAAAACTTTTGATCAATCGAAAGAAAAAAAATTGTTTGAAATTTTAAGTAAAGGTGTAGTAATAAAGTGACTCTCAATTAATTCAGTCATAGCTTTGAAACCTTTTGAAAATTACGAATCTGCAAAAGTTGTAGATGTATCCAAA